TATATATTATATTATTATATATATATATATATATATATATACATATATATATATATATATATATATATATATTGTGTATATGTATATATATATATATATATTGTATATATATATATATATATTGTATATATATATATATATGAATTTTGCAGTGATTTCGTGAGCCTTGTTCGTATATTTGCACTCTTATACACATCTGTTCGCATATGTCTACACAGGGCGCACCTTACGTCAACGCTCAATATCTTGAATATCAACGTACGCACTCATCTCCACGCACATATATATGCATTCACATATAATCTGTAAGCACCCATCCATTCGCTGGCATACGGGTTCATGAATACTGACACGCCGAATTTTATTCGTATTCGCATTCTACCACGCCCAGAACCACGCAAGGCAAACGAATCATAGGCCTGAGCTTGTACTGACCAACTTCGACACCAGACTGGGTTACACACTGGGGCGCATGTTTAACGCCCTATTCCCTCAGAACCCCCAGTTTGTGGGACGGCAAGCGGTGACCTTCCACAACCAACGAGATTTCATATTCTTCAGACAACACAGGTGTGTGTGTGTACATATCGGCTCGTAGGCGTGGCGTTTTTGTATAGGCGTATGCGTGCGCGTGTGCGAAGCCTTTTGACGACGTACCCATATTCGCTGTTATGCTTGTGCGCAAGCCTGTAACGATTAGTTCTGATACTACGTACTTGTGTAGAGGGTCCTTCGTATTGCTGGTGTGTGATTTGGTGCTGCTTTCATCAGCGTCTACTCCCTGTATTCGCTGTCCAGATGGCTATCTGATACTTGAGATACGTTTATTTGCCAATTGCGACTATTTAGTGTTTTCTGTTTGGCTGGTGTCTCGGAATATGGTGCTGCATACGCAACTTGTATTGGCGATCACTAATCAGGTAGGTATCTTGTTTTTGTAATACACAGGTATATATTCCGAAATGGAAAACGGGTGGGCTTGCAAGAAATTGGGCCACGGTTCACGCTCAAGCTCAAATCGGTCCAGAAAGGCACATTCGATTCCAAATTCGGCGAATTCGAGTTCATGCTCAACGTAAGTTATATGTGCCTCCCATCTAGTGACTATGGAGGTGTGCATGTATTCACGATCACACAAACCGTCCAAGCGGGTCAATCCACTGATACGGAATTTGCTTAACCACATTTGGAGATTGGCGGTACGTGTTACTAGCTGTAGCGCAAGTGGTTTTCCTGGACAGGCTCACCCCTTTGATGTGAGGTTGGCAATTGATTCCCTCCAAACTTTAACCCTGTATGTATTTCATTGGGTTACAGAACCCTATTGCAATGCCATGTATTCTTCGCGTGTACTTCTTATCTTATATTCTCTCTCCGTGCACTTCGTGTCTCATACACTCGACGTGTATGTAGCGTAGTCTTCCATGCTCTTACTGTCTTCAGGGACCCGTGTGTACAATCCTCATGCATGCTGATTCTCTATTTTTCATTCTACTTCGCGTCGCATGTTCTGTGAACATCTGTTGTATCTCATAATCTCGCCCCTTTTATCGTACTACAGCGCAAGACGATGGAGGACAACAGAAGAAAATTCCTGCTATAAGAGAGCGGTGCAGCGTGTGCGTGGCACTGTCGGCTGTACTGTGCCAAGAGCACAGTCAACTGCAAAGACCTGTCTCGGCGTGCAGGAACACAATAAACTAGAACGTACGAAGGCTTAAATGTTACAGTACCTTTACTATTGATTGATGCGTCTCAGTATCTTCACTATTGGTTGATACATCGCTCCCGTCTGTGTGTGCACGGATTTGGTCTCCATTGCGTATCGTTGAGTCGAATTAGGTGTTAGACACCGTCTGTCGACAGTTGGCTTAGGCTGGATAGTACTTCAGTTAACTATATATACCTGAAGTTTCGCTGGCTTCCTGAACTGATGCAGGTTCTACTCTCAGATATCATGTATGCTCCATATACACCCTATACATCTGCGCTCACCTATGATGCGTATCATACACACGTGTGCTGTATTCGCACCCATACACGAGGCATTCTATAATCCAACTGAGAAATGGTTTGAACTACTAGTGCTTCCATACCGGAAATATACGCTGGTACACAAGTTATCTAGACTGGGCAGCGGTACACACTCGGCATTGTTCGCCTCCTACAAGGAAGGTAATAGACTTCGCTTGTTTGATTATTCATATCATGCAAGGTTCACACATGTGCATCGTCGCATTGTCGAGTACATGAATCGTCCAATACTCCATTATATTACGATAAGTGTTATATTAAATTACCCAGACCTTTCATGCTGTTGAAAAGGGGTAAACCATTGAACATATTACTCAGTTCACGTCCTCCAGTGCATTGCTATAATAGTATTATATATATAATATTAATATTAATATACATTTACATATATATATATATATAGTATACATATAGTGCTATGGATCTAACGACGATTGTCTATATGCGTGTATATGCTTGACAACGAAAGGGTACTCTTTCGCATCTACTGCCGCACTGCACACTTGTACATCGACTGCTCGTACATCGGTTTGGAAGCCTAGCGATGCGAGCTCCTCATAGAAATAATCAAACTGTTGAGGTGGTACGGAAAACAAAAACAGGCAGCGTGAGAGGTTTGGTGAAGCTTACACACCTATAGGCCAAGGAGTGAAACGATTGCCTGCTCAGTGACTAAAATCAAAACGTCGAGATGACTGGGGGGTGTGATTTTCGTGCTTGAAATATCTAAACGAATGATAATTGCACTTGCACATATGTGCGACAGGCCATGTTCGAAACGAAATGTGCGGCCGAACATATCAGCAATGTCTATGCACGACTTCTACTCTGAGCTACCTACTCAATCGCATCATACGTACAAAGACTATCTAATATACAGACAAACATGTATTGTTATATTGACAAATATTGAGGATTGACTGCCCGGTTTCACACACCTCTTCTTCATTTTCGCGTACCCGACAGAACAGATGTGCATTGCCCTTCCCACTCAGCACACAGTCGATCACCTTTGCTATCTGCACGAAGTTGCCGTGATCGATCCCATTCTCTATTCAATGGTGCAAGTGGTACATACATATCAATCAAACATCTATTTACCAGTGGAAGTGGCATATATATATATATGTTCGCTTGAGGAGAGGACGTTGTAATATACGCTGTAATTTTAGTATAATGCGGTGGAAAGTGTTCTTTTTTCTACTCTTTGAAACATGAGGTGAACCGCGTAGTCATTCTGCTGCACAACTTCATGAGTCCAGGAAGACACGTTCTACTGTCTCCTGCCCCGAGTGATGCGGAACTTTAAGGGCTCCGAATGATATGGGACTACACAGGTCTAAATCATATTGAACTACTTAATTTTTCCTACACATCTCCTAATGATAGACTTCATAGGACTAAATCACATTAAACTATTTAAATGCCACCCATACGGTACATATGGGCCTATGAGCTCGCTACAAAAGCGGCAGACGACAACCTACCTGATATTTCAGAGGTGATATCAAAAAGGTCGGGCACCACATTGTAGCCCGAGTACAGCAGGTCAGCGCCTGCCGAAATACCAAACCACGCAGCACACCAAGTCAGTCATCAAATGAGATCCATGCGGCAACTAAGTTCAATACACATTCACCGGGAAAGACGTTGCGAGGGCGAGTGCTATCATGTTGTTGTATCAGGGAAGAGAGGACAGTGTTCAGAGTTCGTGCTGAGCAATACGTGTCTACTATAGACTGGCTGCTTTACACCTGACAGGGCTGAGCTGAAATTAGGATTTGTCCAGCATGTAGGTAGGAAGGGCAAATGAGTGCGCACGCTATTAAGACACGCGACGTTAAAACTACACTTGTCGCAAAGAATATTCGTAATGCAACAGAAGAAACTCGGGCATGAGAGGAAAAACACAATCAGGTCAGCCGATTCCAGTCCAGGTAAATATAACGGAGTGTGTGATCACTATGCACGATTTGAAAATCATACTATAGTACACGCTCAGTGGCACAGCAGAGGGCAGCCGTCGCACATTGGGATCTTACCAATGGGCCTGAACGGCTACAGACAAATGTACGAGTGTGTGAATACTATGTGATACTCATCATGACAAGTACCGTTGTACACTTACGACTTAACAGAGTGAGCCTACGAATTCAGATGCGAATAATAGGGGACAGTACAATACGACACTCAGTCAGACAAAAACCGGCAGCCAACAGTTGTAGACGTGCTAGAAGTATGCAGTTACTATACGATGATATTTCTGATAAAACCGTGCTATCTTTGCATCTTACTAACTAGCGTACAACAGTGGTAGACGTGCTAGAAGTATGCAAGTACTATACGATGGTATCTATGATAAACGCGTGCTATCTTTGCGTTTTACCAACTAGAGTCCAACAACTTGTAAATTATATGGAGTGCGCAAATTCAAACTGTACTCCCTGCATATGCTGTAAAAGTACAGTCTGGATTCAAGACAACAGAGCACAGCCGTGGTACACTTGCATCTTAGCAAGGAGAGACTTAAACAAATGACATGCGATAAAACATGCAAGGAAAACAGTACTCTCCATGTCACATCAATACAATCTAAATTCACCACAGCGCTGCCGAATTGTGCTCGAATTCTACTAACGAGAAGAAATGTTATGTAACTTGGGAGTACAAAGTCTTAACTTGCTACTTGCTACATCTACATCGTCTGGATATATACTCGAATCATTATAAATGTAATTTAAAACTTCAGAGATGTAGTGGAACGTGCGAATACGAATGTTCTCTGTATTGATCAAATTCATAGACGTATTGGAGAGTGAGAGTACAATACTTGCTAAGCTCCATCAGTAGGGTAAGGTATATACGCTTGCATCTTACCAATGAGAACGTCGTACCTGTCACTCGCATCCAGCTGTGCCACCCGACTCCAGTCCAACGGGCTGACACTCACGCGCGATGCTGTGTTGCTGTTTAATCTCCGATTGTATTCCAGACTCTCTATAACTGTCGTATTCATACGATATTTGGGGCAGAGATTTGAGTGAACTATTTAATCCTTATGTATGAGAACATCACCGTGTTCATTAGATATTCGAGTTGCGGTCTGATTTAACTATCCCTGCTGCATCATAAGTCATCACATTCATGATATGAAAGGGTTTTACGATTGGATTCGTCCTGACGAGCTATTGGTGTTTATTGGCGTCATCAGGGATTCAAAATAAAAAATTGATCCATGCACGCATTGCACGGGGAAAAATACCCCGCTGCTGAGATAACAGGAAGCGACCGAGGCAAATGTTATGACTATAGATAGCTCAAACATAGCACAGTATACCTTGAGGTATGTAGTCAGTCAAGGTTGTTTGCTTGGCAATCTTTGCTGCGCATAATCCTACCAGGCCAAGACCTGACCCGAGCTATTTGAAGTTGAACAAAATAGATGGGATTAACGCTAGTAAAAGAATCAGCAATGTTATACAGCATAAGTACCATAATATACCAATAAAAAACTGATACAATATAATATTGATTCAATATAAAAATGTAAGCATAT